CACGTTAGAGACTTCCTACCTCGGCTCGTCGCCACTGCCCCGTTGAAAAAAAGTCGCTCGAGACAGGCCACAGCTAATCAAAAATGTCCACACAAATGGTCAGGAACAGCCACTTCCCAAGGCTGCCGAATGGTGAAGGTCCGACGCTGGCCATCAAGGTGTGATGGCATGGGCGATCCTTCCTTGTCATCTCGGCAAGTCCGCCAGCTTTTCACCAAGATGGAAACCAGGATCCCTAGCGGCTTAAACACAATGGCATGTCGGACGAGTGACTCGCTCGCCTGTTCGGACCTTTGATCGTTGGTCGCGAGCAACAGGGGTTGTGAAGCTGCGGCTGCCGGTCCCTTCGTGAGCATCTCGAATTTCGAGCGCGTACAGGATGAAAAGCATGGGTATATAGCCCTTCGCTTCCCCCAGTTGTCAAGCAGCAGCATCAGCAATTTTACCGTCGTGAAGTTCACAGAGCAGGTAGGTTGCCGGGTTACAAAGCGTAACAGAAGATTGAAAAGGCGAGCGGGATCATGCCCGAGGGCATCTCCTAGGGCACTCTGGACAGCCAGGTCACGGTGGTCTTCTCTAGTGGAGAGCCACTAGTTTTCTGACATCGTTGTAAAGACACTCGAATCATGGGTCTTTGACAGTAAGTTCTCTTCAAGATTTAATCTACACCTCACGGGCGCCTACTGTTGTTCCCGTCATGACCTCCAAGATTACTTCCCCTGCTCCTAGAGGAAGTCCGGGCTGTTCACTCCTTCAGATTCTTGCGAGCGAGTTTTACAGTCATGCCTGGCAGTTGTTGAAGACCCAGCAGAACCCAGACAAGCTCTACGGATAGTTTTTAGGGTCACCATGGCATGACATCCTGGTCTCCAACACCTGGCAGGCCATTCAGACACAATTAGGCACAAGTTCCCGGTATTCAATCTTATCACTTCCCTCATCTTGGACAAGTAAGTTACCATGCATTCGCTTTCACTTGTGCGGAAGTTTCGACATCAGGCTCCAAGTCAAAGCACCGAGATAGAGTTGGCACTTGAGAACACAGCATGCCCATACAAGGAGTCGTCCAGCTTCTAACGACATTCTTTGTCAGAAGCTAGCAAAGCTTCTTTTGCATCATGATGACGACCTCTGATCTCAGACGTAGGGCAACTTCCGGGAGTCAATACTTCCCGGACCAACAGGACAATGCATTTACTCAACCCTGGCAAAAGAAGTCAAGAAGGGATCAAACATCACTTTGCCTCTCTGTACCCATTCATATTCATAAGATGTAAAAACCAAGTGCTATAGGCCACAAATTGTAGCTGCCCTCTGTTCAAATTGTGATATATTGTGATATTTGTGCTAGACGAACAATGACTGGTGCTGACCTTGACTCGACTCGGTATGGCTTGTGTGTGAGCCAATACCCTCATGTATCATAACTGGTAAACATGCTGATGCGGTTGCTCATGATGGGCAACGTCGATATCCACGCCAGGATACCTAGCCGTGGCCCTCCCACACCAGTTCTATGGGTATGTCTCCCGAGCTCGATCCCTAACCTAGAGACGATGTTCCATTGAAGTCATGCCGCATACTTAAGTGTACCGAGGCATCACCGAATCATTAAAGCTGCGCAGGCCTCCAACCTAAGAGTGCTTTGGTGTTTTCCGCTTGTCGTCCTGAGGCAATAGTATAAGCTTCTGTTTTCTTCGAAGGCCGCAAAATTGATTTCAAGACAAGTGCCGCCGGCGACTCAAGAGCTTAGCGTCAACTACCTAGTCAGGGACATGAACATGTCGTGAATGGGTGTGTGTGTGCGACGGCCAGTCAGGGTGATACCCGAGAAGTGAGAAAGCGACAACGACGGGATATCTATTTATTTTGAGCCTCATCCCCTGCTTTACTTCGAACTGGTTCTTCTTTGCAAGAATTCGATGGGTGTAATCCTATGATCGAAATGAAGATGCGATCTACACGAGAGGGAGTGTCTGGGAACACAGGACTCTCGAGTGTATTACGGAAGAAAATGGATACTTGGCGGTTTTGAAAGACAATTGCGCGAATTCAAGACATCATACTCCTCGAAAACTTCTATCGTTGTCAAACGATGAACTCGAGATCTCAAGTCTTTGAGCTTCATTTTCTGCCTAGCGACGATGTCAACAAGTACGAAGCACATAGTTGTGCGTCAACAAAAACAACACAAACATTTCCATTCCGGTTACAGTTTCTGCAAGCAGCCAGTCGCGTGCATCATCAAACTTGTTACGGCGACAGTAAGGACGCACCACCAAACCTCTAGAAAAAGAGTATGTGAAAGGACGTCATTCCGCACACAGACACACAGACGCAACCCTCTCCCCACCAGATGCCCAGACGGCTTTTCTTTTTTAAACTTTTGAGGCTCAATTCCCCCCAAAAAGAGAATCCCTGCCAGGGATGATCCCGAACCGACTGCATGCAATTCAGGAACCGAAGATTAAAAAGCCATGGGGAAAAAGTAAGATATAAAAAAAAAATTTGAGCAGATGGATTGCTTCAGGGCTCAGCCAGGGTTCGAACCTGGGACCACTTGCACCCAAAGCAAGTATGCTACCACTACACCACAGAGCCAGTTGAGCCAAACTTTGTTTATCTGCTCGATTTGTTGACGTTAGGTCCCGTTAGTTGCTCTTAGATAGGGGGAAAAGTGCACCGAACAGGCAGGTGCCGTGACTCCTCCGGCGGCTGAGCCCAGGTGTGCCGCGGTGAGAAAAAGTGGATTCACAAGACCGATCCCCCGTCGGGCTTGGCCTTGATTCGTTCCTGGGATGACAACAGCCCACACTCCGGGTTGGCGGGGCGGGGACTGGACCGTTTTGCGTTTGCAATTCAAGTTGCGTTGGCGCCATGCGGTTCCACCCGCCGATTTGGCCTAACGATCCGCAGCAGCCAGGTGGGACTTTTGAAGATCTCAGACAGCGATAGCGCGCGGAGAAGGAGGCTCGGGGAGGGGTCGAGGACGGACGAGATGCGGGATATGGATCATGGACCGGAGATGGATGGAGATGGGACTGGACCCTGCTGCACGATATCTGTATTTGGCATCATGAAAAAGATGTGTTTCTTTCTCCAGGTCGATAGTCTTACATGCAGATGTGAAACAGTTTGGAAAATTTATCGCAGTTGCAGGAGCAGAGACTTCACTTTACCGTTGATGGTGAGAAAGATCTTCTTCTTCGACTCCTCTCCAGCCTTTTCGAAGCCGAGATGCCGCCGAACGACTCACTACACCAAGAAAAAAAAAACCTCTCGATAAGTTCCCGTCTGTGAGGCTGGCGAGCGTCTTTTGTTGTCTTCGAACCAGAGCGTAGAAGGAAGGGTAAATGCAAACATCAAATTTAGGCAGAGCTGGTGGTCTCATAAAGCGCAAGTATAATTGGGTCTTTTGCTGGGCATCGATAATAACTCGGGCTCGTCAGTCTGACTCTGCGCCTGCGGTGCTACAACAAAATGCCTCGGCCAGTCTTGACGTCTCTACTGAGAAAGGAAAACCGAAAGTCGCCGACTTCGCTAGCGGGATAGCCTCCAATCACCTACATACATATCAAGATCTTCAACAGCTGTCGACATAGGTCGTCTCAGAATTTTCGCAGATCTCACGATTCGCGCGATAATAGCGTACAGGAATTGACGTCCGATGCTGATGTCTCCTGCCGTGGTTGCTTGCGGGGAGGGGTCGGGATGTCTTTATATGGAGCACCGAAGAAACTCGTCCCAGAACGATCTCAACCACACATTTGGGCGAACATACATATGATGGTCAAAAAGAAAGACCCACGACGGCTTGGACGGCTTTCCTCGCTCGCAGATAACTGGACAAATAGTCCTTCTCCGCACTTCCATACCTGCCTCTAAACAAGTCGAAGGCGAAACAAGCGAAACCATTCGCACGAATCCCTCTCTCTCACAGGCTCACACAGTTGATGGGCACTGCGACATTGGATAAAAAGAAAGAACAAGAAGACTCTTTCATTTGTTCGGCACGGTTAGTTTGGAATATCAAGCGAACGAATAAGTGCCCGACTGCGACTGCGACTATGACGACCTGGTAAGTTCCTCTTTGCCGAAAACGATCCCAAGGTGCTTTCCCCGCCCCATGAGCCGCGCGAAGATCCATTCACACTCGGCGAACCGCAAAACTGCATCAGAAGCAGTATAGTGCATGCATGAAGTGTCGAGTGGTTCAATCTGCGCTGCGGGCGCTGGTGGCGAGCGAAACCACTGGCTGCAAGATGAGTGCCACTTCACCACTTAAACTGGATCTACTAGTCTAAGGTAGCTTCCACTTGCATGCAACAGAATAAAGAGTGGAAGAGAAAAAATTTGAGCAAAGAGGAGGAGAAAGAAAAAACCCGGCACGTCGAACAACTGGACTGGCTTCATTGGCTTATAAAATTGTCAACAATGGAGACGACGTTGTAATATCATTTCCTACATAGATGATGGTAAGACTAGATAGAGGCTTTTTTAAAACTGCTGGATGTGCTGCTATTCCCGCGCGCCTGGAGTTGTCCAGCTTTCGATATTGTCAATCTGGACTTACTACACACAACCAAAGTTCGACGATATTTTCGCATCGCTGGTCCTTTCTTTCTACAGGAGTATTGAGCAAACATCGGGCCCAGAGAACTGCCGAAGCTTAGAGTGTAGCCAAAGTCGACTCGTCAGCAGTTGGGCTTTTATTGTATTCGCATCCATATTGCAGCGCCGACAAAGACAGCCGCCAAGACCCGCTGAGCTGCTCGCGAAGTGCAAGACAAACAGAGAAGTCAACGACAAGTCGACTACAACTCACCGCAACACGGAAACAGTCGGCACCCGCCCGCCCCGTTGTTGAGCTGGTCTCAACCACCTCTCCGGGTATCACCTCATCATCATCATCATCATCATCATCATCATCATCATCATCATCATCATCACCTCAAACCAAGAGAAAAAAAAAAAAAAAAAAAAAAAAATAAGCCTGCGCCATGCCGACATTAGCAGCCATAGACGTCTCGGTCTGTGACGACCAGATAAGCCTCGTCTTTTCGCACCGCGCCCTCGCCGCCGCCTACGCCGCTTACCTCGAAGCCGAAGATTCGCGGCCGCCCTATGCGCAGGCTGTGCCAGGCTACCGACGACTTGCCGTGTTTCATGCCGCCTCCAAAGAAGTCACACTAGCCATGCCCAGCTTCCTCACCTGGTTCATCACCATGCGGCAACCGGATGACGAAGACAGCGTAACATTTACTTTCTCAGACGAGGATGAGGAGCAAGCCAGGGCGTGGGCAGAGAGCGTGGTTCTTTTCGAGCCCCCGGTGCCGCCGGGAACGGTGTACGATTTGGAGGACGGTGTTAGGCAGCTGCATGTCAAGAGGCTGTGGAACAGGGGGAAGTTGTTGCAGAGGCTGGAGGAGCTGAAGAAGGTTAGGAGCCGGGTTACGACGGTATGCTCCCTAAAGTCGACGAGATCATCGCCACGGTCGTCGCCAAAAGAGGGATCCAAAGATGGTGTGCCGTGGTATGAGCGGCAGGATTATGGATATGGATATCGATATGCAGGGGTCGGGCAGACGAAGGAGTTGACGATCTTGGCGCCGTTGCCGAAGCGGGTGGCGCTGCTGCCCCATACAACGACGGCGGGACTGTTTCATGAAGAATGGTGGTGATCATCTTGGTGCCTGGGGAAAAATACATGGAAGAAGGGAAAAGGATCTGTACATGACGTCATATTCCGGCAGGCGGGCAGATAGGCAGGCGTTTTGCTTTTTGGGATACCTAGGTTCTAGATAGCGAAGCGAGGCGTTTGTCGTTTGATTTTACGGTTTCCTTTGGAGAGGGAGGGCATAGACTGAGATGAATCGAAGCTGTCTTTCTGTCTGTTGAACCACGTTATCCCCGGTATGCATGGTGCCCGTTCATCGCTATTTCTGCCGCGAGTGTTCGTTACACAGAGCTTACGTTGTGCAACGTGTGCTTGCATCGATACATCTGGTAATGACAACCGGCAATTCCAATCTTCTCTTCTGTTGATAGTCCTTTCTTTTTATTGCAGGAACAGATTGCCGATTTCGCAAGGCAGTGATCCTGGCAGATCCTCGCTTATCTCCCCTGACAATCATATCGATCGCATGTCTCAGCCATGATGGCACTTGCGCGTACATTTAGCGGACGGTATACCGAGGAGCGGGCCGGTCAAGAGTGTACCTAGACCGTTGCGCGCTCGTGGTCATCACGTTTTTCTTGGAGGCATTTCGTGGTGCGAATCATGGTCGCTGCCAAGCCGGACATTCAACGATTGCTGCTCATATCGTGATTCGTCGTTCGAAGGTCGTTGGTTCGTATCCGATTCATCTGCGAACCTTTGTGTGGTCACTTGACACTCTGGAAGACTTCTTGTATGGTGTCACTACATGGTTATGCTCGTGAACAATTGGAAAAAGAACAGGTACAAACTCCAAACTCCAGGATGCCTTGCCTCGGCAAGCGGGCCCAAATCATCCGGTGTGTTGGGTTCCTTAGCCTCACCATTTAGTGTACACTAAGACCGGAGGCCGCTCCCGTCCAGGCAGTTTTGACCCACGCGGGGCTGAGCTTGGCACGAACGCAACGTCATCCGATTCATATTTATAGCGCAGCCACGCTCCAATCCACTGAAGAACAGAGAGAAACGTCGCCGAATCCTCTCCAGGCGGCAGCCGCAAAAAACACCAGTCTTCAAAAGTCCGTCAGGTTGCCTGGGCAGGGCATCCGAGTCCTCAATTCTTTAGCTTGGAGGAACTTGTTATCTCCAACCTCCCCGCACTTCGGACTTGAGCAAACCTCGGTCAACATGGCAGCATTTGTTTCAGCGCTAAAACTTGCTTGTGCGCGGCCGTTGCCAGCAGATCTCCCGGCGTGGTTCCTGGCTGTGTGCCACTCCCAAGTTTAAACGTGGATCCAGTGGACGGGATTCGAGCAATAATACGAGGTCGAAGAGCTTCACTAACCATAAGAATTCCCTTTATGAGTATTCAATTGGTGTACCAGTGAGGTGATCGCACTATCTCAGCCACCTTCGCACCGTACTGCTACTCCATTTTTTGAATCCTTCTCTGACGACACCCACTCAGATCTACACAACATCTGCAGCTATCTTGACTCGAGTGAGTCCACACGAGCTTTGTCCGGTTTGTTGGGAAGGCCTCCTGCTTCACCGTATTACACCTATTTAAGAGTCTCGTCAACTGTCCACTTCGTTTGCTTTGACTTCGTTCGTCCTCTGTAGCCAGAAGGCTCCCCGAACCCATCCTCGGTACCTTACACCACCAGCATGGCAACAGTGCATGGCCATAGCATGTCTAAATCTGGCGTTGGCCGGGATTACATTACAGATCTTTACATTGGACCACCTCGACGGCCTCCTCAACGGCCTCCTCGATGGCCTCCATTACCCACATCCAGACATTCACGAGGGACATCACTTCCACCTCTAGTCATCCCGAACAATGCATCTCCAGCACCGAGACCGCTTTCTGAGTTCCGGCCCAAGGAAGCATCCGCTACCGTGTTTCTGAACTTTTCACTTCCACGGCCTGTTGCCTGCAGAAAGAAATCAAGCGTTGACATCACCGCATCCAACACACAGTCAACACATCTTTCTGTACCAAACACAAACTCAACACATGGCGAAAGCAATCACTTCTCGTCCAACGCTGGCTGTGTTCCACCTCCCCCAAAATCACCACAACGACCCTCAACGTCCAGGGGACACTACCAAATACCCCCTCCCCTACCAACACCAAACCGACCTCTATCAAGCGGATCAGACTCAATACCATCACGGCCCCTCTCATCAGGATCCGACCAAGTCCCAGAACTAGAACCGGACTTTTACAATGACGACGTCAGCATCATCTCCGACGCAGCCCAAACACCTCCACCACCCACCTACGCGCCTCCCTCACCACCAGTCAAATCACCCCTCCGTCCCTGGTCCGTAGGATCCTCCTACTCTCAAGTCTCGTCTTCATCTTCTTCTTCTTCAGGATTTCCACTGCACCGCTCCAGCTTCTACCCCGGCAAGCGCAACCCGCCACCACGCATCAACTTCCGCCCCTCCTCCCAGGCTTACTACCCCACAAGCAGAAAGAGCGTGCCCAACCTCCGACAACAGTCAGAGTCAGCAGACGACTCGACGGGGTCCGAAGACAACGACACAACAACAACAACCACCACGGGAACAACAGGAAATGGAAGACGGCAGCCAAAGACTTACAAGCTCGACGCCCGAAGCCGCCGCCGCCGCCGCGAAATGAGCCCGTCGGATGTAGACCTGGATGACCCCACCGCCCGTGAATGCAGCAAGGCCGAAGCCGAGGCTTTCACGCAGCTGATTGGCATCATTGATCGGTTTAACGCCAGGGAGGGGGGATCGCCGTCTGTACCTGATCGGTTGGCGAGACGGGTGTCGTCGTTGCATTTGCGGGTGGCGACGCCGGTGTTTGATCCGGCGGATGAACAGAGGGAGCTATGGGCTAAGGGCTTGAGGAAGGTGAGCCCGACTGTGTATGTGGCGGATGTGGACAGCGTTTGGGGTTATTATTTTAATGAGGAAGACACTCCTATTTGAGAGAGGGGGGTGATTAATGGTCAGGGGAAGAGGAGTCAAAAGACACTGAAAGGTTAGGCAATGTCGGGCAGGGACTTTTTGCATATACACATGGCTGGAGTTAGTTTGTATTTAGGGGGTTTGTACATATGATACCAACTGGCTGATGATAATGAATATAGAATACAGTCATAATTCTTCATCCCCTCTTTCCCCTTTGCTGTCGGTGATTGAAGTTATTGCGTAGAAGATTTCCCAAAGGTCCAAGTTATTCAATTTGAATTGTACTGTAAAGCAATCGCCAAGAAAAATAAAACCCATCAAGCGCGAAAACGTGCAGACAGAATGAATTTCTTTATCGAATGACGCGCAAGCATCGCATCGCAATGGCGATTAAAACATTAGGTCATCAACTCGACGGGGAAAAAAAATCGAGACCAAATGAGATTTTGCAAAAAAATGAAGATAGAATTGATCCGACCCAGGCTCGATCTGGGGACCTTCAGTGTGTTAGACTGACGTGATAACCAACTACACTATCGGACCGTTTTTTATTGAAGATTTGGCTTTGAGTGGGGTTTCATAAGCTCAGTGATTCCTACCACCCGCATGAGCGAAAAATTTGGCTGGCATGCCATCCCGGCTTTCCGCCCGAAGTGTTCCAAGTGGGACAACACACGACAGAAACAAAAAAAATCAAAAAAAGATGGCGAAAAATCAAACTGACTCGTTCGAGAAAC